TATTTTTTATATAAACAAGTGAGTAACAGTAAATCATCACTGTTTTCAGTGAAGAAAGTATAAAGTTTCCTGGTAAGAAAATACTTTTTCAGAAAATTTTCACATTTCATAAAATCAATCTTATTTATAGAAGGTCAAATATATTAATAAATAATATTGGTATTACTTACCTTAGGGCTCTTAATAATGTTATAAAAAATCACATAAACATAGCTTTGTAATTAATAGTAACTTTCCCTTTTAGTTAGTAGTAATGTGAAGTTACAAGCAATGAAAATGTGTCACCTTCCCTCATGACTGAACAAGAACCATAAAAAAAAATAGAAGTGAGACCATGTTGTGTTTGTGTTCCCTATGTGCATCTCTCAGGGTCACAGAAGGGCAGTGCTGGATGCTGTCTTTAATTACAGCTTTGAAATTATGCTCATCATGGATTACTTTGCATTAATTTTTATTCTTAAAAATAGAAATGAAAATGTTTAACTGATTATTGAATTTTTTGAAGCCCCCTTAAATTTTTTGCCAGAGGTGAGGCCTTACTTGCCTCACTCTAATTCTGGCCCTGGCTGGGATGCTGGGGTTAGGAGGAAAGAGGAAAGTAGGGATGGTGGTCTAGAGAAGTAAATCCTTAACTACTATTAACAATCAGTCATAGTTCAAAAAAAGACAAATCAAAATATGGCTATATTATTAATAAATAATAATATAATAAATAAGAGATCAAATAGCTGAAATAGTTGAAAATGACTGCCTCTAAAGAAATGAATGGAAAAGGGTGAAGGAGATGAGTCACTACTTTTATGATAAACTATCCACACAAATTTTCAACTTTTAATTTGATAAAGATAAAACATAACTTTACAAAGTCTGAAACTCTCATATCTGAAAACCTTACAAAGTCAAGAAGAAAAAAAAAGAACCAAAACATAACAAAAAAGAAAAACAAAGACCTTAGAAATTCTTTATGGATATCCCCAAGCAGCCTTAAAGGAACAGACTAATTTGTCATTTCATTAATGAAATAACAGGGAACTCCTATTTTTATGTGTATGTTTGAATTGAGAAAAAATATTTTTAAGAAAGAGAGAAATACTTTTTTGTGTGAACCTACCACAGCTGATATGCTTAAAATATTAGATTATAATTTTTTCATGTCTAATTGTCCTACTAGATTCTGACCACCTTGGGGACAGGGAAATAATTTTATTAATCTTTGCCACCAATACAAATTCCTAGAACTTGCTATCAAGTGTTCCCTAATAGCCAAGGAAGGAAGCAAGGAAAGAGAAAGGCATCTGTACCTACCTTCTCTCTCTTAGCCTTAACTTGGTTATAATGGAACTAAACTAACTCTAAGGCTACAGGGGAAGGGTTATGGTATACATATAGTGAGGATATGAAAGCAGTAAAATGTTGCAATGTATACAGAGCAGCAGAACAGAGGCTGTTTTAGAAAACCACTATATAATATGAATTCCCATATACAGTCTATATACTATGAAAGGAATTAATTTTGATGGAGAAAATGTAAAACTATACAAACTAAAATATGGCAACAGGAAAATATTATTGAGTTATAACACTGATTCCACTACAATGTTATCAGATCAAAACCTTGAAGATTGATTCAAGCTATCCACCATATTACATGTGTATTTAAATGCCTGAGTCTATTAAGGGACTATCCACAGCACATATATGCTTGAAAGAAGTACCCAGACCAAAACTGTAATATGTAGCCTTCCATGTAATATGGCTTCCTTTAACCCTGCTTACAGCCTGCTAAATTTTTAGCATAAGCTTTTTTGCTTTTAATGAAAAAAAAATAAACTTCAGGAAGCTGGTTGATGTAAGAAAAGGTTGGTTTTACTTGACACAGATGCAACAGGGCAATCAAAGGAAAGTAAGAGCCTGATGTGTTTATTGCACTATGAATACATCAGGAAAAAGTCAATGGATGATGTTAGCAGTGATGAATTCATAGGTTTTCTTTATGGCCATGCCTTTACATGTTTGGAAAAAAGAGAGGCAAACCCTGTTGTCCCCAGGGCATAGGGGCCAACTGTGGCTGGGTGACAGAAGAAAACATTTCTATTCTACAGAGCCACTTGAAAACCTCAGAACAACAGAGAACATCACACCAACCACTACCACCCACCACTGGCATGAAAAGAAAGTGAAAGTGTTAGCCTCTCAGTCATATCTGATTCTTTGCAACCCCATGGACTGCAGCCTGCCAGGCTCTTCAGTCCGTGGAATTCTCCAGGTAAGAATACTGGAGTGGGTTGCCATTCCCTTTTCCAGGGGATCTTCCCAACCCGGAGACTGAACCCACATCTCCTGCATTGCAGACAGATTCATTACCATCTGAGTCACCAGGGAAGCCCACTAGGATAGCAAACATCAAATAATAAGCAACAGCAGTACTGTTGGAAGAAAGACAAGAGTGCAAAGAGAGAGAAAGAAAATCTCCATGGCTCAATCTCACACACACACAAAAAAGACTAAAGCTGAGTATAGAGCAAGGATACTGAGAAAAAAAAAAAAACCCTCCAGTAACATAACTTCCACATTAAGCACAAGGAAATACTACAGGAATTGAACTTGACAGTATATGAAGGGTAGCTGTAGAGATAAAAAAATAAACCCAAGTCAACACACTACTAGATGGACCAAATCTCTCGCTAATGGCCTAAGATGAGAAAAGGCATGCCCATTTTCAGATACTATTTATCTTAGTCCAACACATAATGCCTTGCTTTCAACCACACATACACAGAAAATGCAAGGGGAAAAAAACTGTACTGTCAAAAGATAAAACAATCAGCGGAACCAGACTTAGATATAACCCAGCTACTGGAACTTCTAGAAAGAAAATTTTAAATTATTATGATTACTAAGTTATATGCTTTGGTAGAAAAAGAGGATAACACACATGATCAGATGGAAACTTTATCAAAAGATCAGACACTATAATAACCAATGCAAATGTTAGGGAAAATAACCCAAGCAAATCACAATGACAGAAATAAAATGCAAAAATTTTTTGATGGGTTCATCAATAGACCTTACACAATTAAAAAAAAATGAATCAGTAAACAGGTCAATAGAGAAAAATTACCCAAACTGAAACACTAAAAAGAAAAAAAAAAAAGAGTATGGGGGAAGGTGAGGTGGGGAGACTAAAACAGGGCATCTAAGAACAGGAATTAACACCAAATGGTAAAACATGTGTGAAACTGAAACACCAGAAGTAGAAGGACAGGGCAGAGAATACCAATCAGGATGAATGTCAAAAATAAATAGATAAATAGATAAACATATAAACAAACAAACACACCAGACTTAAGACACATCATGTTCAAACTGATAAGAACTAAAGACAAAAGACAAAACCTTTAGGGTAACCAAAGAAAATCATACTTACATACCCATATAGAAACAGAGACAAAAACTATAATAAGACATCTCATCAGAAAATATGCAAGCCAAAAGACAATAAAATGATGTCTTTAAACTGCTGAAAGAAAACAGTAAATCCAGAATTCTATACTTACCAAAAATTTATTTTCAAAAATGAAAAACAGAAGATTTTTTTGAAGGAAAAAAGCATGTAATAAATAATTACCAGTAGATCTGCAACATGAGACATTTCAAATGAAGTTGTTTAAGCAAAAGGAATGTGACACCAGACAGAAACCAGTAACTACATAAAGAAAGAGCAAGCACTAGAAATGGTAAAAACAAAGGTGAATACAAAAATTGTTTAAGTATTTAATTGCTTTAAAAAAGACTATTTAAAACAAAAATAGTAACACTATATTCTGTCTTTGTAACCTGATTAAAAGTAAAATATATGATAACATTAGAAACAAGAAGAGCACACAAAATATCAACATCAAGAATAAAAGGATTATCATTGCAGACCCCACAGACAACAATAAGGGACCACTACAAACATTTGTATATATATAAATTCATAATAGATAAAATGTACCAATTCCTCAAAAACACAAATACCAAAATAAACCAGTAACCAAAAAATCATATATCCAGTAAAGACATTTATTTGTAGCTAAAAATCTGTGAAACAAAAGAAAACTTTCTGTAAAAGACAGTCACGTGGGAGAAGGCTGGTACTGCCTAGGTTTCACTTATTTACTCTACAGCATAGAAATTCTACTCAAAAAATAAATGCTGAACCTATCTTGCTTCATTTTTACTCAGAGACAAGCTATGTTACACAATATTTTAAGAACTGACATCAAGAAAGCAACTACAAAGGCAAAATTATTTCTACACTCATACATTAGACCGCCCAGTTTTGCTGTTGTTTAGTTTTTAAGTCATGTCCCATTCTTTTGTGACCCCATGAGCTGTAGCCCAGCCAGTCTCTTCTGTCCATGGCATTTCCCAGGCAAGAGTACCAGCATGGGTTGCCATTTCCTTGACAGGGAATTGTCCCAACCCAGAGATGAAACCTATGTCTCCTGCAGTGCAGGTGGATTCTTTACCACTGAGCCACCAGAGAAGCCCAGACTGCCCAGTAAAAAATGTATATGATAACTCTGAGTGTGATATTCAGATTGCCTGATTAAGATACCTAAAATGTATTCAAAATATTTCTATATTAAAATTTATTTACATCTTCAGAAAATAGAATTTCCTAAAAAGATTAATTTTCCAACCTGTCAAATGTGTGATATTTTAATGATTTCAGAATTTTTAAGTCATAAAATTATCTCCATTACTTACTAATTGAAATAAATAACAAGCATGTGAAAGGTAATAATGTCTTTGTCAAAATAAACCACTTTATAATTTTACTGAGTTAAATATTTTTTGTATTAATGAAAACAAAAATCTCAATTCTTTTCTTTTTGTTAACATGACAAAATTCCTAGGGATGTACACACACTGAATTGAAGTTTTAAAAATCACACCAACAATACTTTCAATTGTATAAATCTTTAAGAGGTAGGAAATACAACATAATTTACCTCAGACATAGGTTCTTGTTCCTTTGTGGGAGCTTCATTTTTTAATCTTAAAAACAAAATAAGTATTGAGTATTTAATTTTATGTTTATAATACAGAAACAAGAAACAGATTTTTTTGCATGCTTAAAATAACTTAAATGTAGATTCATATTAATGTACATTTATACTATAACAGTAAATTACCTCTATAATAAATACTTTAAGGGAAAAATAAAATGCACAAGAATAAATAGTAAATTCAATATATGTTCTAAATAAATGAATACAGATAAATATTTCCTTCTCTAAAAACAAGAGCACTTAAGAAATGTTCTCCATGTTAAGTACAAATTTAAAAAAAGATATAAAACATATAACACATTAGCTATGCAACAAAAAGACATTACTCTTTAAAAAATGAAAGCAAAAAAAAAAACGAAAGCAAGTTTATGTGCCTAATATATATAACATGCATCAGTATTTACTACTAAAGGACTCAAAAAGTGAGAGAAAATACATATTTTATCTATTATAAAGTTCAAAATACTAATGTCATTTCAATATATGTTACAACTAACTTATTTTAGAGGTGGTAAAATTACAGAAATTTAGAATTTTGAAGGATTTATTCTCTTAAAAACTCATAAGCGTAGCTCAAATATTAAACATAAATTTGTAAACTTTTATTTCTAAAAAATACTAACTATAACATTACAATATTAATAAAGGCATATGTCATCTACAAAAATCTTTTTTTAAATATCAATTTAACATAAAAACTATCTTTTCCAAAGGATCTTTGTTTTAAATTGCTGATAACTAAATATTTGGTAATATAATATATTGAAGAATTTTAATCTGAATATGTAGAATGTCCACCTGATCAGAAATGCTATTAATAAGTAGTTAAGTGATTCATAACTTAATGAAGGCTTAAACTATACTTAAGGATTAACATATTCAACATAAGCAACAACTTTACTGACTTAAAGTTCATGGACAAAAATGAAGACATCTAGTAAGACAGATATTATCAACCATCCTAGAAGCTAATCCCATAGTTATTTAATGAAATATGGGAGTTGGCAAACACCCCTCCTTGTCCATTCTCCAAGGGCACATTAAAAAAACTAGGCTTATAGATGTTACTATTTTTCTAGATATTAATAACAATGTAAAATTACTTAAGCACATTTTAGTTATTACATGAAGATGCAAATAATTTAAAATAGGGCAAGTCTTTTTAGTTGAAATACTATATTGGCAGTATTTACAGTAATTTTCAACTAATTCTGCTAAAAAAATCTAAATGAATAAAATTTGCACAAAAAATTGACAAAATACCTAAATGTCTATCATTTCTTGGGTTAAAGGTTTTGTAATTCTCTCAGGTATTTAATTGTGAACAAGAGTATTCATACAGGTGAAATAATATCAAGTGTACGGTACATCATTGCTTTAATAATATATATAGGGAAAATAATTGCTTTAAGAATAACAAGTTGAAGTTGTAAGAAAACATAAAAAGTTTTGGTTTCTGTTGGAAGAAACAAAAAGTAGATATTAGCTGATTTTTTATTTCTAAATATTTAATAATTTTAAACTCAGTTTGAAAAGTTGTTACTAAGTTATATATAACTATTGGTTATAAAATAGTTTAAAAATATTTCATAAAAGAATACTCCTTTTCAGCTTATTACTGGAAATGTTATCAGAGACTGATCTCAAATTCATACAAAAGAAACATTACCATGCTAATCATTTTCACATATAGCTATTCTAATAAACTGATTTTATGCAGCAATTAAAATGAAAGCTATTAAGCATGTGTTACTATTATTGTTGGTATTTCAATTGGGGAAACTGAATTTTCTTAATATCTCTGCAAAGGAGGTTGGTAACAGGTTTTTATTACTCTTCATTTTACTGGCTAAGAAACTGGTAGATGAGAATAAAATAAATTATTGAAATAACTAGCAATAAGAGGTTTATGTTCCCAATCTTGTTTTGTGGCTTTAACCATACTGGTATTCTGTTTAAGGGACAGAATTGTAATAACCAGTGAAAATATTAGAAAAACAAATCTAAAAAATTACAAAAAGCACACTACATAAAATTTCATTGAGTTACAAAATTCATCATTAAAATGTACACCACAATATTGTAACTACAAAAGCATACTCGAGATCAACAAAGTTTTAAACAACTACTAATACATCACTAACATTTTGAAAGGAAAAAATGTTCTTACCTTTAATCTTACACATTAAAGATGCCTGCTGAAATAGTCATCATTGAGATATTCAATTGCTTGGTAGAAGACAGTGAAATTTGCTAAGCTCAAAGTTCTGAGCTAATGACCTGCCATTAGATAATTATACTTTTCACCTGTGAACTCTGCAATATTTTTAAATAAATTTTGCATAGCACTCAAAACAAATACTATTTAAGATTCCAATGTTAAGGGAACAGAAGGACTGACTGGTCATCATGAATTTCAACAACTACCACTAGAGATCAAGATTGCAAATAATTTTTCTTTGCTATGTAAACCTGCTTTCCCCTTAAAGTTCAAAATGAAATAAATGTCCCTACTTGCAATTTTTCTGCAGGTGACATGACCAATCCAAAGTTACAGTTAAATTACATCATTGTGTTCATTTGAGGAACATACCATGAGGTAGAGGGAAGTGTTATAAGGGGGGAAATGCTTGTATTCATTGGTCAGACCACATTCTTTTCTTCTAACACCATTCAAAAATCAAAAATTTTATTACTGATTTTTAAAATGTAATCTTTAAAAATACTTATAAGCAAACCAAAAAAGCTGAAAGGAGGTTTACAATAAGCCAGTAGTAAAGTCAACCAGTTCTCAAGACCTTCCACTTACATATTCATACTAACCATCACACAAAGAAAACATCCAGTGCACCATTCTGATAGTTCATTCTGAGAGGTGTTAACAGATGTGTGGAAAGGATGATCTAAACATTTATCAGGTTGCACATACATCAGGTACTGTGCTAAGAGTTCCAATCCAAAGTTGTCAAGGAAATGCACTGAAGCGAATGTTTACAGAACTGTTATGTGTTCAAAAGGAGACATCTATATTGTGGCTGTATAAAGGACTGAGGCATTATGAAGGGGGAAGATGCAAGAAAGCAGTGAAGATACTACAGTGAATGTGGTTTTGCAGCAGGAGCTGAGGCTAGCAAAGCAGGAAAAGACAAGTCAAGGCAGAGCAAAAACCAAGAAATAGAAGACAAGATGACGATGATACAATACAGAGTGACCTCATATGACTAGAAGGTAGGGAACAAGAAAGAGCAGTCAATGACACAACTGAAGAGATAGCAAGGACTACTTTAGCAAATGTCTTCAGTGTCACACTAAAGTATGCTAAGAACTTTATTCTAAGGTTAATAAGAAAGTATGATCAGCTTTGTGCATCAGAAAAAGAAAAGGGCAGTATCAGAAGAGGATAAGCTCCAGTCAGGGAGCCCAGATAATTGACATTTAATGACTGACAAAAGAACAACAAAGTGGCTAAGCTGTTTGTTTTTTTAAATCAGAACATAGACTGTAGTTTTTGACTCAAAAAAAAATAATGGTTAGGCGCATGAAGTTGTCAATGAAAAAGCCACAGAAATTGGGAAGTCACACAGCATCTCAACTGGGCTTCCCTGGGTGGCTGTAGATAAACAATCTGCCTGCAATGCAGGAGACCTGGATTTGATCCCTGAGTTGGGAAGATCCCCTGGAGAAGGGAATGGCAACCCACTCCAGTACTTTTGCCTGGAGAATTCCCATGGACAGAGGAGCCTGGCGGGCTGCATTCCATGGGATCTCAAAGAGTCAGGCACGACTGAATGACTAAGCACAGCACGGCACAGCACAACTACAAATAGTTTAGTCACTGGCACTCTTAATGCTTGCTTTACTCAGGTATGATCAGGCAAGAAAACTGGAGTGGGTTGTCATTCCCTTCTCTAGGGGAATCTTCCTGACCCAGGGATTGAACCTGGGTCTCTGGCATTGCAGGCAGATTTTTTTACCGTCTGAGCTACCAAAGAATCCAGTCTTACTAAAGAGACTAATTTATGCCTAACTTGTTTGCTGAAATGTCCTACTGTCCATGTATCACAGAAATACTACTCTAAGATTGGGAAGCCAGATTTAGATTCTGATCCCAATGTTACAACTGTACCAGTTGTTGCCTACCCTTCTGGGGAAACAAAGGGCCTTCACTTTGAAGCTCAAGCCCATCCGTCTACTCAAGAATAAAAAAGGCAGGAAAGCACATTTGAAACCACAAGCAGAATCAGGGAAGCAACAGGCTATAGTACTTTTTAGTTTAGTCTCTCAAGACCAAGGACCATAATTGAAATTGAGGCTCGTAACAGGTATGTGACTTTGAGCAAATGACTTAACCTGTATCTCAGCTGTCTCATCCATAAAATTGGGATAAGAACAGTGTATATTTCACTAGTTTGTGAGACTTAAACAAATAAATGTAAAAGACATAGTGTATGTACTCAATGTTAGCTATTATTACATCCATGGGTTGAGGTCAGGAATCAATCTTACTGTCTAGAATTTGAGTATGCAGCACAGGCTCTTCAAGCTTTTACCTAAGTATCTTCTATGTTTTGAGATTCTTCTGCCATACTCCCCCCATCCTCAAACAAAATATATTAGGTATTCATTTTCATTGCTCATTCATCAACTTACTCTAGTATGAAATGACCTACGCTTTTCTGAAGACATGGGTATGATTTCGTCACCAGGGAAGATAAGAGTAAAAAATCATTTTAGGTGGACAGAGGAAAGAACCAGGTAAAGACAAAGAATTAAGAGAAACAAAATACTTATATGTAATAACATGAAGCAAAAGATAAGACCATCAGTGGAGGCAGATTCTAATACCTATTTTGGCTATAATTTTACTTCCCTTTTAAAAAATTTTATGGCAATATTGAATTAGGCCCTGAATACTTGTAATGCATATACAAAATATCCTCAGAATTAGGAAACTGAAAAAATGGTAGTAAACACAGAAACACTGAT